GCCTGGCTGGATGTCAGACACCGGTGCCTCCCTCTGCCACAGGCTGCAGCGGCAACCTCTCCAGCTATTTCCTGGCACATCAAAACAGTTGATGGCTGGAAGGGCTGCTATCGCACCTCCAAACCCATTTATGCAACAGTGAAGTAAATCAGGTTCTTCAACTTCAGAAGGATAGGTGTCTTCAGAAAATGTTGGCAATTATACACCTAAACCGAACACGTGAACTTTGGGTGAGAAAGACATGAAATGCTCCTGGCCCAGCTCCAACCCCTTTTGCCCCTGGCATCGCCCCGTAGCTTCTGCACCTCCCCGGGCATGCCCTGCACCAGGCCTAGCCCCTCCGCTGGGACCCATCACTGCCCCATCTCTCTTCTCCCCAAGAGCAGGAGATGCTTCCCACTGCCCACACCCTGTTTTCAAGATTTCCACCCCAGGAGGCACCGCGTGGCAATTCTGTGGCTCAGCGCCCCCGGTCAGTGATGCACGATCTCCCCTGCAAAGCCCCAAAGTCTGTGGGTGGTGGCAGGGGCTCGCTGGGGGGCTCCCGCACCCCCGGCATTCATCCTGCAGGGGCAGCTCCCCCAAGGTCCCTACCGTCCTCCCCTAAAATGGGCGATGGTGGAAAGAAACTGCTGTCCCCATGCCCCGGCAGCGAGTCCAGTCCAGCCCAGGACCAGCCCAGCACTGAGGATACTCCAGACTCACCATGCTGGGGTTGAGCTTGCCCTTGGGACCGGAGGACTGCATGCGTTGATCCATGGCATAGGCAGCGCACAGTGTCCCCGGGGGCAGCCAGCACCTTCAGGCGGAGCCATGAGCCCACCGGAGCCCTCTGCTCTGAGAAGGACAGATTCACATGGAGAGAGGGGAAACCTTTGGGTTAGGGGAGAGGGGAGCTGGCCCCAGGAAGGACCTCTGTGCCACAGCCTGACCCCAAATGCCAGCGGAGGATGGAGAGTGAGGACTGTGATCAAAGCTGGGAGATGGTTTGCAGCAGCAGCAGCAACAGGAATGGGAGAGGAAGGAACCCCCTCCCCGAAAGGAGAGTCGGGGACCAGCCAGTTGCAGGGGGTGAGGAAAGGCTCTGCTGACCCTTAGTGGGCTGGAAATGCAGACGAGGAACCCAAGCCCTTCTCCCTCGTCCTTGTAACTTCTCTCAGCACCCGCAGCGGGGATGTCCCTGTCCCTGCTCCTTGTCCCCAGCATTACACACACGCTGGGGCTCTTTGCTCCTCCCGAGGGAGCTGACAGGCTGGCACAGGGTGACAACTCACCTGCACGGGCACCAAGGGAAGCTGCAAAGAAAGAGAGAAGCAGCATTTAGTACGATCAAAGCACAGAGGGCTGAGCCGGTAGCTGAGCCGGGGGCTGAGCCTGTGGGAACTGGCTTGGCACCTACAGAGCTGGTTGCTGGGCTGAGGGCTCAGCAGGGCTAGGAGCCGCTGTCATTGCCCAGCTCCTGCTGCCACATCCACAGCCGTCACGCTGCCTTTTCCGAGCAGCGGGAGGCGGGCAGAGGGGCTGCGTTGTGCAAACAGCGTTAGCTGTGCAATTGGGCCTGCCAGCACGGCATAACACCAGGAGTCTAAAACCAGTGGGCGTTATAATGGTGCATAAAAGCTACACGTGAGAGAAGACAGGCAAAGGGATGCTGTAAAGGGAATAATTCATCTCCTGTGCCAGTGCCAAAAGCAAGGGGCTGTACCCTGGGCACTCAGGCCGGGAGCGCTGGGAAGAGCTGTGTCCCACTCACATCCCACGTCCCTTCGGAGTTTGGGGGATTCCCTCCCCATACCCGTCTCCTCCATGCTCGTGGGGACACTGAATGCTGGGACACTGCTGCCGAGACCAATCGTCTTGGGCGCGTGGGGATCCTATTGCCTCTGCGCCCCAACCCCATCTCACCTCCCTGTTGCTGGGAATGAAGTTTTGATCCAAACGGACAATTCGAAACTTCACTGGAGGGAGCAAAGACAGGAGCAGGAGTGAGCACTAGGGCCTGGGACCCAAACCTGGGGATCCCATCCCAAGAGCCTGTGAGCTCTTCCAGCAGCTCCCACCCCTCACCAGTTTGTCCAGGCTTGTAGACATCCTTGTAGACAAGGTCCGCAGCTCCAGGGCTTTCACCAGTACTTTCTTCTGCTCAGAGACCTGCAGGGAACCTCCCTGGATGGAGATGTGAAGATGCGCAACCTCATAGATCCCTGCAGGAGGGGTAGAAATCTGCCCCCAGGGAAACAGCAGAAATGGTTGCAAAGCTTTTATGTTGGATGCCAGTAAGACATCGTACCTGTCCCCCATTGTCACCACCCCGTTGCCCCATGAAGGCACCAGGGAACAGGTGTGCATGGGAAGATGACGCAGATACAGCCCGCAAGGTCTCCGTATGTGCCCCGTGTCCCTCCACTCTTCACCTCACTCGTTGCCCATCCAGGATGGACCCCCTGTCCCCCCCAGTTCCCCCAGCCCAGCTCTGGCAGTGGGTAGGGGATGGATACCCCTTCCTGAGGTTCTTCAGCCCTGCCGCGGGGCCCTGACTCACAGTGGAGAAGTGGGGCCAGTTCAGCTGGAGGATATCGCTGCCCCGCTCCTCCAGGGTGACGCTGGGGACGCCGTGGTCGCCCGCATGGGCTCGTCCAGGTCCATGAGGTGGATGTGCACTTTGTGCGTGTATGGGTAGTAGAGCATGGAGGGGAGGAGCACCATGTAGTGCCTGGGGAGGGGTCACCTCGGTAGTGGAGGAGGGCAAGGACCCCTCACCAAATCCCAGTGCCCCCCTCCACTCCAGGCTCTCAAGGCGGAGGGCACTTGGGTTTTTTCCAGCCCCGGATGCTCTCTGCAGGGCTATGACACCCAGCCTTCCCTGCATCTACCCGGGGAGGCTGGCCAGTGCGCAGACCAGAGCAGAGCCCCCTTAGCCTAAACACCTTGGGAAAGAGCCGAGGGGTCGATCTGCGGATGGAGGAAAGGCCCTGCTCACCCGCTGGCTTTTGTGTGAGGTTGCGCCTACACCAAAGCAGCCCAGAGACACCAACCCCAGGTGCAAAGTCCTCTATGGGGACAACCATCACCCCAAGCATTTCCACCCCGGCCAGCAACCGCAGTCACAGCAAGGATTGTCACACCACTGAGACCAACCACCATCCCGCCAGGCACGGACAGGCAGACACACAGAGGGCTTACAGCTTTGCAGATGCTCCAGCTGCGAGGTAGCGGATGCAAAGCAGCAGGCAGGGCAGGGCAGCGGCAGACCCCATGCTTGGAGGACCAGTGGAAGCGAGGTGGTCCCAGAGCCCCCGTGCTGAGTTTTCTTCTTCTCCTCGAGCTTTCGCCTCCCCGATGGCAGCAAGCAAAAGCCAGCGAGGTCTCCGGCTGGGACCCGGCCATCCAGCTAGGACAATGCTTAACTGCCAGACCCAGGCTTTGCTGGGTTCAAGGCTCTGGGCAGCCAAACGACACCCGTGGTGGTGGCACCACCGAGCCAGCTCAGAGCTGACAGACTAAGCCGCACGTAGGGAGCCCTGGCAGGAGGGAAGGGAATAAAGGGGCTTTCTGGGAAATGAGATCTTTCATGTGCATAGTGCCCTTGACCATCTCCACATGACAGTTCCTGATCTGGTGAGTTGTTACTCATGGAAAGCCTCTTTTCTGTTGCTAGTATTTTTGCCTAGTGGTATCTCTCTGGGCGGATGATTGCCACGGTTTTGCAGAATTTCCTCCATAATGAGCTAGCCACTCCCGAGAGCAGGAACGATGCCAAACCAGAGCACCGCGCCCTTGGTTGGCCATGGTTTGCACATCTTATTTGAAGATGGGAGGTGAAGCCTGCCCACCCTGCTCCCAGCACTGGGGACAGCCACACACTGCGTTTCTCCCTGCCCTACTGTCACCCTGGGGTGGCTGGGACAGGAGCTGCTCAGCTGGGAAGGAGCCAGCAGATGCCTAAAGCCCTGCCTGGCTGCAGGGAACAGGCCAGGGGAGATGGTAGCTGGTGGATGGGTCTGGTTGTGCCACGGTCCAGAGGCCATGGGGAGGTCCCTCCTGCTCCAGGTGGGCATAATCCAGGCACCTCTGCCCTCTGAGGGTTTTGGGCTTTAATGGATGCTCTTCCTGTGCACTTACTGCTTGTCCCTAAGGCAGCGGAGAGGTCTACCTCGGGGGCAGACCTAGTCCACCCCAGTGTAACTCTCACCCTGCCACGTTCCTTGCACCGTCCAGCGCTGCACCCCATGGAGAAGCTGCGGTGTCCATAGGGATGCTCCGCATGCAGCGATGCAGGCACCCCGCGTGGCCGTAAGGAGACAGATCCCCCTCCCCATGCTCCCTGAGGCACCCGAGGCACAGGCAGGACACCGTGCACACACACCACCAGGTATGGACTGTTTAATCTTGCACCCTTGTCTCATAGTTCAGCATCAAAGATGCTCTTCCCACATGGCAATAATCCCCTGGACCTCCTGCCCCTCCCCAAGCCACACGCCGCCTTCTGGACCCCTCCCCAGAGCTGGCTGCATCTGAACAGCATTGCCAGCTTGCAGGAGCCTCTGGAAGAAGCAACCCAGCAAGCCCGCTGGTGAACCCCACCGCGAGTCACACCGTCAGGGGTGGAAAATGGTGCAGTGAACCCCCAGCCCTGCCTGGCACATCTCTCCCCCCTACCCAGTGTGCAGGCAGGAGCCATCCAGGCAGACAGGGTTTGCTACCCGGGGCCAGACACAGCACCAGGTTGGGGGGAGACAGGCAATGACCTGGGGAGGGGATGCACCGTCAGAGCAAGGGGTTTCTGGGGGCACCTTGCACTGTTTTCGGAGTGCTGCCTGGTCCCCGTCCTGCACTGTTCTGCTTCCCCTTGCACCAGGGCACCATCCTGCTCTCCCAGGCTGCCGGGGTGGAGGCAGGTCTGGTGGACACATCCGCAGGGGACAAGGGGACAGCATGGCCACAGCCCATGGCTGGCTGTGCCACCTCCCTTACACCCCCGAGAGGCTCGGTCCCTCTGCCTAATTGCTGGTCCCGGTTGTGTCCTCCTCGCACTGTGGGCTGCCCGTCCCCCTGCCAGCACCAGCCGCAGCGCCGCGCGGGAGCGGAGGCTGCTCAGCGCGCTGGTCCACACAGTGATTCGCAGACATATCAGCGAGGGCATCAGCCATGGCCTGGCGGACAGTCTCTGTCAGTTCGGGGACATCCTTTGGGCTCAGGCCCTGGGTTTCTACCTTGGGGAGGATTCGGATGGTGCATGTCCCTGGAGAGAGAAGGGAAAGGCCGGGGATGCTGTTAGATGAACCCACCAGGAACCAGGTCTTCCCACCAGCATCCTCCACCACCAGCTGCCTCCCCACACCTCAATGTCCCACAAAGAGACCTCCAAGCCTCATCCACACTGCCAGCCCTGCCTTCCGGCGACAGGGCTTCTTGTCCATCACTTACCAGAGGTGAATTTCTTATCCTTGGAGCTGAAGAAGTCCCAGTACGGGGAGATCACCATGGGGAAAATGGGAACCTGTAGGAGATGGAGAGTCCAGGGGTGTCCTCCATACAGACCCCCTCCCCAGGTGGGACTCCATCTCCTGCCCTGCCCCAGGCTTCAGCAGGTCCCCATCCCCTCCCTGGGTCCTGCACAGCAGGGTGCCTGTCCCTGGGGACTGCAGACCCCAAAAAACCCTAATGTCCCCCATCCCGCTGCCCCAGGGTACATGCCCACCCCACTCCGTCAAGGGCAAGTGGAGGGGGAGGATGGCCTTACCTGAGCCTGCACGGCCAAGTGGAAAGCCCCACGCTTGAAGGGCAGCATGGATTTGTCCTGGTTCCTGGTGCCTTCAGGGAAAATCAACACTCGGAGCTGCACGGGACAGGGAGAGATGTGAGCACGGACCCCAACCAGAGCACCCTGGGACCTGCTATGTCAGTCGTCCCCGCACCCCCTTGCCCCATCGGTGTTTGCTCCCCGACTCCCCCCTGCTGCCAGTCCCCCCCTCACATTTTCACGCCGCATGGTCCTGGCCGTCCGCGAGATGACATGGATTGCATCTTCTCTTTTTTGGCGGTCGATGAAGATGATGCCACTGAGCCAGCAGGCCCACCCCACGGTGCCCATGTACATGAGCTCCTTTTTGGCGATGGGCACACAGCGGTCAGGAATGACCTCCACCATGCCTGGAGGATGGATGGGAGAGGAAAGGATCCGTCCCTGCCCAATGGCACCCAGAACCAACCAGCCCTGTGGCTGTAGTGACCTGGCGTCATCTTCCATTGTCCCAACCCTCTGTCTGCAGCACACCCACAGCCCGGAGCTCCTGTCCCACCAGCTCTTCTGGCCTATGCCTAATCACACTGCCCTGTACAAATCCTGCTGCTGGCCTCACTGGGAGGCCTCCCACCCCTGCAGCACCCCAAAGGCTGCCCATGCAGTGATGAGCCCCCCCCCCTCCCTTGCACTGACCCATGAGGTCAAGGGAAGCTTGATGGTTGCAAACTATCACATAGGGCTCCTTGATGTTCAGATGCTCAGAGCCCCACACCTGCATCTTGATGCCATAGAAGCGCTTGAGGGGCAGGATCGCAGCACGCAGGAGCCTGGGCAGAGGAACACACGTGGGGAGCAGATCGACACAGAGCGGGGCTGCTTGGGTTTTTCCAGCCCTTCACAATCACTCAGGGAGCAAGGTGCAAGATGGGCCAGCCTAGATCTGGTCTACATGAGCAAATAGTGTGTCCCAAGGTGGATCTGTGCTCAGTCTCAGTGATGCTTTGCTTTTCTAAGCACATTTGTAGCCTGCATAGCTCAGAGCTAACCTTGTAACTATCCCCAAGGGGAGACCAGCTGCTGCCTCAGTAGTAGGAAGTCTGCATTGGAGCTGCTGATGAAGAAGAGCAGCCAGCACAAGCTGGTGGGAGAAAAAAAAACAGGCTTTTTGAAGTCCAGGGATGATGGGCAAGCAGGAAGAGAATGGGTGGGATGTCTGCCTCCAGCCAAGGTGCAAATCATCACATCCCAATGAGGACAACTGCCTCTGGCCAGGTGAGCCTCACCCTGAGGCTCCTCCACGTGCACAGCTGGATCCGTGTGATCTGTGGAAACCCAGACACCAGGCTTGCAGCCTGCGCTGCAGATACCTAAAGCCAGAGGAGCTGGATCGCAGCTGAGAGGTGCTGAGCTGTAGATGGATGAGCACTGAAGACAGACATGCAGAGGAACAGTCTTGAGACAGACGGGTCTACAGGGCTGCGGATGTCTCCAGGGACTGTCCCTGCAGAGCAGGCAAAGGGCAGCGCTGCAGGCACCAAGCTTTGTGCTGCAGGTGGAGGGGGAAGAGAGCAGGGCAGGGAAAACCAACTCAGCTTCATTCATTAGAGGAAATCACAAAGAACAGCTCCACTGGACCTGCAGTGTCGGGAAGAGATGGAGGTTTCATCTGTGCAGATGGAAGGGGGAACAAGGAAGAGTGGTGTCACCATCCAGGGAGGGTTGGACAGGAAGGGTAGCATCAGGATGGCAGCGATGATGAAGGGTGACGCTCAGTATGAGAATAACAAGAGGAATGGAGGAAGGATGGAGCAATGGGGATTGCAGCACTCACAATGGAGATAAAAAGCTGGTACGCTTTTGGTGTTGAAATGGGGCACTCTCCAACCCACAGCATGAAGAGCACCCGTGCCAGGGTCCACACATCTGGCAGCAATTGGTCCCAGGGAGCCCACAGGGGACAGGGCAGGGGACAGGGCTGTCAGCAAGAGCTCAGCACCAGGTAGGGATGAGAATAAGTTTGGGAGGAGGGGGTAGAGGCCAGCACAGAGGGAGGACGCGGCATGATGCTTAGAGGGTCCATTGTATCAGAAGACCACCCATCCCTTGGGAGACGCAGGGTCAGAGATCCCTGTGTCTGCAGAGAAGCAAAACACTTGCGGCAATGCCCCAAAGCCAGGATTAATGACAGCAATATGCTCCAAGCCGGAGGCTTTGTGATTTGGAGGCAGAGGAGGAAATGGAGCTGGGTGTGCTGCCCCGGCAGAGGATGGCTGCAAGGTGCTGGTGAGACAAGATAAAGCACCGTGAGTCACCGCTGATTCACGCCAGGTATTTCCACTAAGCCGGAAGCGTTTGCGCCAGGGCTCGGAGCACCTCCGGATGCGTGCGTGCACGCAGAGCATCTCTGCACAGAAAGGACGAGGGAGAGAGGCTACACAATGGACTGATAATATCAAACCTCTGACCATCCTGCCGAGGGCCTGAAATCCATCAGCACAAATACGTGATGGCTCGAGCTCAGCAAATACCAGAAGCTCAGACATTTTTCACTCTGACATAATTATATCCCTTCTGGTATGCTATCATGCCCAGGAATCCAGTAACAAGATTGCAACACCCTTGAAAGCAACCAGACCTTCCTCTCGTGTTGCACAGCGATGTTATCTCGGCTGCCACCACCCTTGAGCACAGCTGACAGCAGCAGCGCACGACTCGCAGGGACATGACTGAGCCATGCCCAACAGCTGATGGCACCGAGACATCCCAAAATCCCTCTGCCAAAGTGCGATCCCTGGGGCTCCCGCTGAGCAAGACCTGGCTGCGCTGCCAGGGAGACAGCGACGGGTGTGCATTTGCGTCCTGCTAATGGTTGTACCTCCAACCTTTGCCAAACCCCCCCTATCACCCACCCAAATGATGACGCCAACGTTGCGATGGCCAAGAATAATCCCTTTTATGCTACTTATCCTCCAGGGACCACTAGTCCCAACCCAGCTGGCCACCTCCATCGTGGCGTAACCCTCCCTGGGCATGGCCAGCACCTCTTGACCACACCACAAGATGCAGATGCACCCTTCATTGCCACATGAACATGACCACAGCCCTCGCTGTGGCCCCAGGGCTCAACCACCAGACATAACACGGCTGTGGGTATGCCCAGAGCCGGAGAGAGCGTGTGTCCACAAGACCACATGAGCTCCTCCGTCACAGCCAAGCCCCAGCCATCTCCACATCAGAAGCACATCCCCAGGCCATACTTACCTCATGTTCTCCACGGAGCGTCCCCGAAAAGCCGCAAAGGGGGACAGGAGGGTGGCCATGGCCACAATCCAGCAGTTGAAGAAGGCCATCTTGCAGAAGTAGTGGAAGGTGGCATTGTACCGGTAAAGCAGCAGGGCTGCCAAGGGGAGGAAGAGCAGCAGCCCGTGGAACAGGACCACCTCCATCATGCTGCCCTGGTGGGAGGATGCTGGGGAGTTCAGCCCGCGTCCCCGGGAGCAGGGTGAGTGGAGCAGGGGATGCCAAGGAGCGTGGCGGGTGAATCAGGTGTACCAGCGTGTGGGTGTTTGGGGTTGGTCCAGGGGAAGCTGCTGTGTGTATCTCACCCTGTACAGAGGCTTGAGGATGGACTGGCTGAGGCGGGAGGCAGGCTATCCCACTGAGGGTGGAGAGTGGTAGTGAGTCAACACCAGGAACCCTGGGTCACCCAAGCTGTCACTGCTGATAAATGCCCTCGTGGGCTGTTAAAAGCCATTACAGTGCCTCTGACTTGATGCGATCAGATCTGTTGCCCGCAAAAGTGTCCATGCTCTGGGCACCTCTCCTGGCCACAGGCACCCCAACCCTAGGAAAGGGGGATCTCAGCTGGCAGGGACAGCGGGAGCTGGTTCTGGTCCATGCCCATCACCCTGGCAAGGCTTGTCGCAGATCCCTGTTGGCATCGTGGCTAATCCCCAAACCTCACCCTGCAGAGTATCAGATTATTGGAAAATATCTCCTTGCTGCTCCCTGCCTGGGTCTGCAGCAGGCACGTGGTGCCAGTGCTCCCCGTCTCTCTGCTCCCCTCCAATTTGGGCTTCAGGAGCCCCTCTGCCCTTCCTCTCCCAAAGCCCAGCATCTGTCACCAAGGTGGTGACAGATGGGGTCAATGGGCAATGCCCCAGGGGTCTGAGCCCTGCCACCCCCCCCTGCTCCCACCCCCGGGCCGAAGGAGATGCCAGCCCTCGCCCCAGTTGGCAGCCAGGGGCTGCGTTGCGTTAGGTGTTTACATAGGTGCCATTAGCATGCAGAGGGCTGTAATTAGCCTCTCCTCTTGCTCTGTTGCTTTCGCACTCGGCACACAGGATCCAGGCCAACTCTGGTCTTGCTTTTAAAAAGCAGGTGCTTGTCATTGCAGAGGTAACTCTGGCCTGGTCTCAGCCACCAGCAGCTTCTCCCAGCCCGGCTGTTCCGCGTCCCAAGCCCTGCCAGGGACATCCACATGCTGCTGCCCAGACCCATCGGTTTGTCTCTGACCCTTGGGGCAGGAGCCTGCGAGCAGAGAGCTCCGCTCATACCTTCCCATAACAACCCCACCAGGGCTCTGGGGCAAACAGTCCCATTGTACCGTGCTGGGGAGAGGCATCACATCACCTGGGTCAAACCCAGCAGCCCTGCCCCTCATCGGACACAGCCTACCTTCAGCAAACCCACTCTGCATCTCCCTTGCTCTGTTCCTCTCCGGGCCCGTGCCTGCTCTTTCCATCCACACCTCCTCCCTGTCCCTGCCGATGTGGGCGCAAGCAGATGCCTTTGGACTCCTAGCTGCGCGATGATCTCCATGCTGCCAGCTGAAGGGTACCCTGGTTCAACCAGTGTGACCCAGAGAGGGCTCCACGGGTTGCTGCCACCGTGGGTGTTGCAATCCCCATTGCTTCATCCTCCCATTCCGCTCATATTCAAGCTAAGATTGAGCCATATCTTGAGCCCACCCTTCCTGTCCACCCCATCCCAGGTGACTCCTCTCCTCCTTCTTCCCTTTCTGTCTATACGGATATGGAAACCTTTGTGCACCAGCCTGGCTTCCCATCAAACTCAGCTCAGCTTTTGGATGGTCTCCTTCACTTCTGCTCTTGCTGCTCTGCCTGGCCACTCTTGCAGCCTCTCGGGGAGCTCCCAGCTGGAGATGTGCCTTCATGCCACAACCCAATGTGGCTCTTTTGCTCCACGTTGAGGAGCTGCTTCTCCAGCTTCAGCAAAAACTGAGCTTTGCTGCAGGGGAAGATCTGCCCGTGCCAGAGCACAGCTCAGGCCTGGGCTCGGGGAGGACGAGCTCTCCTTTCCATAGGGACCTCAGAAGAAAGACACAGCAGTCCTCGTGCTCGATGGGGGCAGAAGGAGGGGATTTAAGGTGCAACTGCCTGGGCACCATCTTTCTGCATGCTCTGAGCTCCAGATGACCACCAGCCCTGAAGCCCCCTGCTAGGAGCTCTGCTCTTAAGGCAAAGCCTCCTGATAACTGGCATGTAACCCCGCTGGGGTCAGAGCAGGGCTGTCACCCCCAAGTGGGGTTGGGGAGGTAGCAGAGGCAGGGGACAGCTTCCAGTACCCAAAATGCATCTGCCCCTTTTTTCCTGGTGAGCAGAGGGGACACTGAGTCCTAGGGAACCCCGTGCTGCATCCCCTTTATCAGGCTGCTGCCCTGACCGCATCCCCACCAGGAACAAGCTGCAGGCCACATCCAGCTCTCCCCATGCTGTGCTCAGCCAGCAGCATCCCACTCTGCTTCCCAGCCCAGCACCAACCATCAGCAACTCCCTATATTGCCCCAGCACCCGCATCAGGCACTGATATACCTCTCCCCACACACACACACCCCCCCCCCGGGGGCAAAAGGCTCACCCCCCCCCA